AAGATTTTATTCAAACGCGAAGGTGAATGCAGAAACGAATACCTATTTTACAGACTTGGACAAATCCTATTATTTGGAAGGGATTAACAAACTAAAGCAGCGTTGGATGAAGTGTATAAGCCTACTTTTTTATTATATAAAATTTTTTTTGGATATTTCCGTCCCCTATATTAGTTCTACCATTTTAAATTTTCGAAATCTGATAACAGATTTGTAATCAGCGACCTCGAAAACCACTATATACAAGCTTTCTACTATATATTATGAATTGAATTACATATTTACAGTTATTTTGTGTTACCCCCCCTTAGGGGTAATATTTATTAAAACACCGAAAGACGTCAACTAAATTTTGTTATTATGGATGTTTAAACATTTTTTCCAATTTTTTTTAGTTGGTTTAAACTTTTTTATTAAAAAATTATGCCAAAAATATGATTTCAACCCCTAAAAAATAGGGGATGCTACTCTTACTCTTCAAATCACGATGAAATACTTGCTCCTTTTGTAAGAAATAATCTCCAATTTGTTTCACTGAAAAATATTAATTTTAAGCCGAGATATTAAATAAAACGCTTTTTGGGGGTTAACTTTAGGGGAGGTTTTTACCCCTTAAAGTGAAAATTAGCCGATAAAAAAAATACGTGTCTCTTATTTTTTTATGTTCTATAATATGTATCAAAATCATAAAAATCGGTGAGTTCCGGTTGGGTACCTTTCCTTGTTAGACTAAACATGTCAACAGGAGTTAAGCTGGATGCCTACGCAAATGATGTATTGATGACAACCTATTAAAACTGTATTTATTAACCCATTAACGTCAAATATACACGTTTGCTCATGCCCACTTTCAACGCTGTATAGAAGAATCAAATCGTGCAAAAATTATCATGCAAACCATGATTTCTGATAGATTTTTCAATGAGCTTTCTGAATATGGGGTGTGATTTTTAAAAAAAGGTTTTTTGAGCCTCATTTTTGCAATTGTAGGAAAAAAAATATGAAAATTTTGAGATTTTTTTTTGAAAAACCAAAATTTTAACAGATAATCTCTTGAGCTAGATGTCTAAAATCTTCAGAAATCGTGTACAAATTATTTTTCCTTTAAAATCGTATCTCTAAGAACATCAAAAATCAACTTCGCAAATCCAAAATGGCGTCCGAAAGTCAGAAAATATAATAAATTATTAACTAATTTTTTACTCAAAAAGAAATCGCTTTATGAAAAAGTTTCACTCAACAAAAAGTGTTTAGAATCATTCAAAGAATACGTGTAAATTTTTCCAGGACGTTCTGGAAAATTTTCTAATTTTTCCGGAAAATAGCCAGAATCAAAAAATCGAAAGTGGCCCAAAACATCTTGGGAAAATTCACACGTATTCTTCGAATGATTTTAAGCACTTTTTATCGTATCAAACTTTTTCGTCAAACCAATCATTTTTTAATAAAAAAATATCTAACTATACCTTGCCCTGTTACGCTTTGGCAAACGTTTGCATAACACGCATAAATACATAATATCTTTCCATCAAAAATTATATATTTTTAATTGCACTACAATTCCATACTTATTGATAAATCTATAATTGAAATTCCTCACATTTCATTCTCATTATTTTCACTTGTCAATTTTTTTTGTTTTCAAATGACAAATTCAGGGTGGTAGTTTCTCTCTGTTACTTCAATGTTTTTATTCCAGTCTTGATATAGAATAAATATGCCTAGAATAAGTAATCGTTCTAGAAAGTCGAAGGAGAGTTACGGTGGATTCGTTGAAACTACTGAAAATAATCAGTTCAATGAAGCTATTTATCTTCTTAATCCCGAAGATTCGGGCGAGTCCGATACCTATGATGATGATGACGATGATGATGAGTGATATAGCATCATCGGACGATGAGAGTTCTAACAATGGCGACATCGGTTGCAATTTTTCGTCTCCCAAAATATCATATGCAAAAATTTTTGATCAATACGATTCGTCCCAAAAACAATTGGAAGACAATCACCATTACAATTGTGTTGATGGAGAAAAGCAGTATCCAGGCGATGAACTAATAAAAACTTATTATCTAAGAAAGATAAAAAAATTATTTTATCTAGCACGCCAACTGAACTATTTGAGTATTTCTTTTATGATGATTTGAAGAAAGTCACCATAGAATGTACCGAATCTAATTGTTATTAACTTACTCGCGATCGATTTGATGTGTTTCTAAGTATTTCTAAGTCAGAAGAGGAAGATAAGGAGGATAGGATCTGACTAATTCGGAAAATAGTTGATATTTTCAATAAAAACATCAAGAGATTCAATTTTTTCTCGACTGCACTGTCCATAGATGAAATGATAGCTAAATACTAGGATAGATGCGTTCTCAAACAGTTCAGCAAAAGGAAACCGATACGATTTGGTATCAAATTATGGGCTTTATGTTCTTACAGTGGTTTTTTATTTCACTTCGAGATTTATTGTGGAAAGAATGCAAAGGATAATCTACTACTAAATATTGCTTTTGGTTCACGTGTCGTTTTACAAATCTTACAGCACCTATTACACCACTGCACTTCAAGGAAACTAAATGAATACCATTGTTATTTTGACAATTTATTTTGCTGTCCAGGTCTAGTACTTCATTTGAAAAAAATTGGTATTCGAGCCACTGGTATAGTAAAAAGTAATAGAATAAAAGCAAAAATGATATCAATAAGAAGCAAAACGGGGCACCTGGTTAGCAAAACACGATAACTTGAGTAGGATAAATTTCATTACTGTATCGGCCTCCGAGCCTGTATCTATCCTTTCGACGGTTTCAGGAGTCACTCCAATGTTTAATGTGAGCCGTTATGATAAAGAATCGAGAAGTAAAATAGCAATACCATTTCTAAATGCTTTTTGCATTTACAAGTTCTTGGGGGGTGTTGATTTGCATGATCAACATGCAAATCAAGTGCGGCCAAGCATACATTCGAAGAAATGGACATGGATAATCATGATAAGATTGGTTCAAGCTGTGGTTACAAATGCCACTGTGTTATATAATGAAGCATTTCCAAACACAGAAAAGAAAAAAGGAACGAAAGAATTTGTTTCCGCAGATACTCAACATTCTTGTCAAATCGAAAATTGCGCAACGAGATCACGACGATTATGTAAAAAATGCAATTTACACGTGTGCAAAAACTATTCGGGAATCCCGTGAAAAGAAAGAAAAAGTGAGAGAATTCACTATATCCGGAATATGAGTTGGTGCAGCAGTAAGGACAAACTATCGGGCGGTTTGGAGTTATAAACTACAGGAGAAATGACGAGCTCTTTGGTCGGCACCTGTTGGTTTATGATAGAGGCAGATTTATATTTCACCATTTTTATGTAATAGGCATGCTATGTCACTTTTTATGTGGTCTTTGTAGTTATGCAAAAATATATTTGTCTAAAAAGACTGATAACATGGGTATCTTGCTTATAGTCTACAATTTTAGTTGTTTCAACAAGAGTAAAATTTGGCTATTTTTTTATTCGAAAATGATTGGCTTGACGAAAAAGTTTCATACAACAAAAAGTGCTTAGAAAAAATCATTCAAAGAATACGTGTGAATTTTCCTAAGATGTTTTGGTCCACTTTCGATTTTTTTATTCTGGCCATTTTCCGGAAAAAAAAGAAAAATTTCGAGAACGTCCTGGAAAAATTTACACGTATTCTTTGAATGATTCTAAACACTTTTTGTTCAGTGTAATTTTTTCATAAACCGATTTCTTTTTGAGTAAAAAGTTAATTAATAATCTATTATATTTTCTGACTTTCGGACGCCATTTTGGATTTGCGAAGTTGATTTTTGATGTTCTTACAAGGGAACCATCCCAACCCGACCTCACCGATTTGAATGATTTTGGGATATGTTGTAGTACTTGAAAAAAAATTAGATACGTGTTTTTTTTATCGGCCCATAAATAAGGGCTTTTAAGGGGTGAAATCCATCCTGAAAATCAACCCCTAAAATCAGTTTTTTTAATATTTCTCAGCATCAAATGAATATTTTTCAGTAAACTCAACGTTAAAAAATTTCTTATAAAAAGGCGCTTTTAAGGACATAACACTTATACCGAAAGGTTGCAACCCCCTTTTTAATAGGGGTAAATACACTATTTTTTGTACTATTTTACGACATGTAATATAGTAAATCAGCTCGAGTGATTTACAAATCGCACTGATAATAAGAAAATACCAAAATTAAATTGACGTGTTTCCGGATTTAAAAAAAAATATATTTAAGGGGTGTTTCACCCCCTAGAAACCACCCCGACAAACTATCAGCAAGTTAATCTACCTAACCCTGGGATAAACAAGTTTAGTCGTTTGTTATTTCCTGAAATATTTTAATCCTACGCCTGAGCGAGCTATCTCAACTAACCAACCTGCCTCTAACCCACCAAACCCCCATAAACCACCCTTACCCAACCAAATGTAGGCTAATAGACCTAACTTTGGGAGAATTGAGTTTATCAGTTGCTTTTTCTTAGAATAATTGATTTCTACACCGTACGTGGGGTATCCCATTTTTTTTGATAAAATATATCTGTAGCTCAAACATAATTTAAGACAAATAAAAATATGTTTAATACATTTTATTTTAATAGTACCAAAATGGCGAGAAATATCTCTTAAAAATAAACACGAGAATAACACGAGGTCTAATTATCATTTATAGATCTATGCATATATATTTATATTTGTATGTAGATACATAAATATATTTACGTAAGAGCCATCGTACGCGATACTACATATACAGGCATCCCTCGTTATTCGCGGTTTTGGTATTCGCGATTCACCTTATTTGCGGTTGCCCGAAATGTGCCTTCCCTTGTTATACGCGGAAAACTAACTTGTTATTCGCGGTTCGGTTTGCTACAATGTTCACTCAGATTGTAAATTTTCGTAACCCTGAAAGTTTGAAAATATTTTGTTGCGCACGTTTATTAATCAAAATTTTGTTGTAAAATGGCACCAACTCCTAAAACACCTAAAACACCTAAAACGCCTAGAAGTAAAAAAGTTATGTCTTTAGCAGACAAACTTAAAATTTTGAATCTCATCCGAGATGGTGAAAAAATAGCTTGTATTGCGAAAATATTCAGTGTCAACGAATCAACTATTCGCTCTATTCGGACGAACGAGGACAAAATTCGAAGCAGCTCTGAGATATTAGGCCAACATGCGACTTCGGTAAAAGTTGTTCGACGAAATACACTCGAGAAAACTGAAGAGATGTTGTTGATTTGGTTACAAGATTTGATCCATAAAAAAATACCAGTCTCTACAGCAGCTATAAGAGATCAAGCCATTCAGTACCACAACTATTTGAATACAAAATACGAAAGAAATGACGAATTCAATGCTAGCAAAGGCTGGTTTGAAAATTTTAAAACAAGATATTCGCTTCACAGTTTGAAATTTTCAGGTTAGTAGTGTCGTTATTAATCGTGAGATAAGTAAATAAATAAATAAATAAATAATAGGTGAAAGTGCAAGTGCAGACCACGAGGCTGCTCGCCACTTTCCTCCAATACTTCAAGAAACTATTTCTGAAAAAAAATACGTGCTGGATCAAATATTCAATTGCGATGAAACGGGACTTTTTTGGAAAAGGATGCCGAATCGTACGTGGATTGCAAAAGAAGAACAACGGGCTCCGGGATTCAAAGTCGCTAAAGATCGCTTCACTCTTTTATTCTGCGCAAATGCCTCAGGAGGTTTCAAATGTAAACCAATGCTGGTTTATCGTGCCGAAAATCCAAGAGTTTTAAAAGGAAAAAACAAAGATCACCTTCCTGTTTATTGGAAATCAAATAAGACTGCTTAGGTTACACAAGTAAACTTTGAACAGTGGTTCAAAGAATCTTTTATACCTGATGTGAAGCAATACTTGTTGAAAAAAAATTTAGCGTTCAAAGTGCTATTATTGCTAGACAATTGCAAAAGTCATCACAGCATAGCCGATATTCACCCTGACGTAGAAGTCATGTTTTTTCCGACGAATACAACTTCTCTCATTCAACCTATGGACCAAACCGTGATTGTGACTTTCAAAGCCTATTATTTGAGAAGAGTCATGAAAAAAATGCTACAAGAAGTCAATCATTATCGCACTTGTGACGGTTTCGATCCCACCTACGTTGTCAAAATGTTTTGGAAAAAATTTTCTATTCTCGATGCCATCTCTTTGGTTGAAGAATCATGGACAGAAGTTAAACCTACGACTGTGAGTGCTAGCTGGAAAAAAATTTTGCCGACCGTCGATGCTGAGACAGCCGTTGTGCCAGAATATCAAGAACCCGTGCAATCAATCATTCATTTAGCTCGAGAAGTTGGAGGTGAAGGTTTTGAAGACCTTCATGAACCCGAAATTTTAGAGGAAATTGTGATGCCAGTCAGAACAGATCTCAGCGCTGAAGAAGCAGAAGAGCTTATTGTGCCATTGCCTCAAGACAATCTTCAAGACAATGAAGACGTAGTTCCAACTGTATTTGGAGGAACAGTAATTTTAGAAATTATAAATTTATTAAAAACAGCTACGGAAACAGCTATAGAACGTGACACAATAGTAGTTCGGAGTCTCAATTTTAAGCATAACTGTGAAAAGGCAGTCGAAGTTTATGAAGATTTATATAAAGATGCGTTGAGACGTGCAAAACAATCTCGTTTGATAGACTATTTCAAATCCAATTGATTATTTTGTAATAATTTGTATATATTTTGATAAATAAATCTTATGTTTAGGAACCTAACCCCTCATTTTCCATAAGCGTAAGGTCTTGCTATTCGCGGTTTTGTTATTCGCGGTACCTCGACGGAACGTAACCCCCGCGAATAATGAGGGATGCCTGTATTTTGATTTTTCATAATAATTTTCATCTTTTTCTTTTTTTCATTTATTGGTAAATTAAAATGTATCATTCATCGAATTCCTTACAGAAATGATAATCATCGAAAAAGTGTTTGAAACATAATGATCTTTTACACCAACCACACCGTATTATAGGAACATTTTTACATGCTTCTACTTCGTAATGTATATTGCAAGAATCTCCAAAACTCAAATCAACGGGGTTATCTGTTTTAGCTGGTTTTTCAGCAATGGAGCTGCTTTTATACCAAGCGTATTTAAAAATATTTGTATATCTTGGTGAAGAAAGCTGGCTATGGACAAGAGACTGCATTTTTATGATGTTATTTCTTAAATGTAGATTCATTTCATAGTCCATCAAAATTACTTGATCTGATAAATGTCGAACGAAGTTTTTTCAGATACAAAATCAATAAACATCGAGTGGTTGGATGTTCCCTGTCGTTCCTGTGGGAATGTTTTTTATATTAACAATTTTGTTTGTCGGCATCGTTTTTCATACAGCTTTATCGCAATGTCCACTCCAAGAGTCGAGTAAAAGTACAGATTGAGGTCCAATATTTGGGTAAAAAACTTTCAACCAAATTTTAAAATGATCTAAAATAAAAAAATGTCAAAATTTTTTTATGTCATTGCATTATAATAAACAAAAATATACTAACTTGTCGTTAATTTTCCAGATTTAGATGCTTCCACGTGCACATTTTCTGGTCTAAATAATGAAGATTCCACTATGGGACCGAATTGACTACTATTTTCTTTTAATACTATAAAAAGTGGTGATAAAAGTTTCTCGGATGCTGTGATATAGTTGGCTGAATTGTATAACTGTGCGTTGTCGATGAAACCGACTGTCCCAGACAATGCACCTGCTTTTCTCTTTCAACTGCTAATGTTCTTCCCGAGTGCATTTCTAATTGGAAACCACTCTGATCTGAATTATCAAAGTTTGCAATGCCGATTTCTGGTATACATGATTTAACATTAGCTACAAAAGCATCAGCATTAGTTTGTAGTTCTTCTTTACTTTCTAATGTTTTTTTGGTGATAAATTTATTTATTTTTCTAGATACTTTTCTATGAGCTCTTTTAAATTTTCGTAACCAATTTTCAGAAGACTTAAATCTTATATCTTAATGGCCAGCAATTTTTGGAGCTTGCAATGCCCATTTCCGTACATCTCGATCATGCACTATCGTACCAGCTACAATAGCGGCTTTTAAATTATCAAACGAGTATTGGCAAATTTGGGCAATTTTTTCTTGGTAAGTTCCATTTTTATTAATTGTTTTCGCCTAACGTTTAAGTTAACTTTGTAACGGGAGAGGTTATCTGAAAAATGGGATATTTATTTAAGAACAAATTCCCACGATGCAGAGCAAACCGCCGCTCCGTTAAACACGTATGATAGTACGTGTATTCGCCTTAACGTCAGATGATTTATCCTAGTTGTCTTTTGTTAAACAGAGTTGAACTCACCTTAAGTGTGACACTCGTTGAGTTTTAAGTGTGAGCGACTTTACTCCTAATCTTCTTAATCCCCTAGATGTAATTGGATTAAAACCTAAGCCTTTTTCAATTACTTAAGCTACTAGGAAAATTAAATTACGAAAACGGCGACAAATTTCACAGACTTTAATTAATAAAAATTACTACAGTCTTTGTATGGGCCGAAAGACTAACGCACGCAAATAGGATTTTACAATTAGTTATATTCGGTGAGAAAGAGAGAGAGAGAAGATTTGAATTATACCGCGAACTAACGCTCGACGCGAATACAAAAAATAACGCTATCACGAATATACAAAATACGGAATGTATTTTATATCGCTTAATATGACGGAAGGTGCACCTACCATGCGGTGCAATTACGGTGATCAGCCGTAATTGTTGTTGCAAGTAATGTCAACCGCCGCTGCCCCTTGATTATCAGCTGCGCTGCCTTGTACTGACTCCAATTAGCTACAATCTGCTGCTTCTGCACTGCTACTTGTTTTCTCGAAAATACCGTTGCATTCACGCACGAAATTGTCCCAAAAAAACTAATTATTCGGCGAAAACAAAGTGCAATAGAAATCGGCGGTAAATTCACGTTCACAGCTGAGGCGTAACTGCCTATTCAAAAGATCGCGCACCCCCTCTCTCTCTTAACTGTTAGAACTAACGCGCGAGAAGTAGAATCGCGAACGGTTCGATTAATTAACTCGACTACCGTTGCAACTTATAGATAAAACTTTTTTGAATCTATGTTGTACAGTATCCAGTTTTAAGTTTTTGTTTTTTCCGCTCCTCCAACATTGTACGGCTCTTTATTTATAATCAAATGTGATTTTTTCATCATCATTTGTGCACTGACTTGTTGGTGCAAAATCAGGATTAGGAAAGTGATGTTGAACTTCATCTTCGATTATTTTAGCATCAGTATCTTTATAATCTTCATGAAAATCTAATGTCTCTTCAACAATCATATCAATATCATTAAACTCATACACGGCATCTATTAATATTTCTTTCAACTTTTCTGACAATTTAATTTATTTGAAATAAATCTCGCTATCCGGTATTTGTAAACTTTGAAAATATACTAATAATAAATTGACTACGTTCAAAGGATTGATCTTCATGTTTTAATCTAAAACAAAATCAAGATATAAATTCTCTTTTTTGTAGTTGAAGAATTTTACAAAAGACAAAAGAAAACCTAGTCTATAGATAGAATTCGATCATACGTTTTTAACAGTTATATTTCACATGTTTACAAATCAAAATATTTGAATACAATTAGATATAAGTGTCATAAATACTTACGTAGTTGACAAAAACTTTTCTTCTTGTTATGTACTATATTTTCGTGTTCGGGAATTTTGTATATAAATATAGAAATAAGTTTATTTATAAATCCAGCACTATAAAAAAACGTTAACTTTTGAAATACTTGACTTTTCTTCAACTACTACGAATAATGAAATATGTATCGGATGTCTTATTATCGTAAGGGGCGTAGATTTGATATAACTTATCTTCTTCGAGCCATTGATAAAACAAAATTGTAAATAAGATAAAGTGTACAGCAAAGTAAAGTACCAACAAAAAGTAAACTAAACCACAAGTGAAAATTCAAAAAAGTAAACAGATTATAAGTATAGAAATTGAGACTATAATAACTATTTATAACTATTAATATAATCAATTATTTGTTATAATTTCTTTTCTCATTGACATATTGTAAATGATTAAAAAAGAAATAATAACTATATTAAACTTCCACTTTTGAAATTAATAATTTTTAACTGTTATTACTTGTTATTTTTCTTTATTACGAATTAACTTTACGTTTAAAGAATAATAACTATTATTATTACTCTTTTATACAAAGCTATATGTAATACAATGCAAATAATATTTTTAAAAAAACTGATACTATAACTGTTATTATTAATTTCGAAAAAACCAAATAGTTAATAATTATTTATAATTGATTCTAGTCTCAAATATTTATAAGCCGTTATTAATTATTTTTATCTTTTTTGTATTTATAATGAAAAAAAAAATAATAATTATTACATAAAAGTTGTAATACTTGGAACATATTGTTATGCAACATGAATGTTATTCAAGAAATACATTTATTTTTCGCTATTTATATAAGGTTAGCCCGCATGTGGTTCGGTAAGGTTGGTTTATAAGGGTGGGGGTTAGATAGGTTAGGGGTAGGTGGATAAGAAGTATATGATTCAGCTGGGATAAAATTCAATTATTTCAAGAAACAACAAACGACTATAGTTGCTTTTCCCAGGATTAGGTAGGTTAGCCTGCATGTGGTTCGGTAAGGGTGGTTTATGGGGGTTTGGTGGGTTAGAGGCAGGTTGGTTAGTTGAGGTAGCTCGCTCATGCATAGGATTAAATTATTTCAAGAAATAACAAACGACTAAACTTGTTTATCCCAGGGTTAGGTGGATTAACCTGCTGATAGTTTGACGGGGGTCGTTTCTAGGGGGTGAAACACCCCTTAAATATATTTTTTTTCAAATACGGAAACACGTCAATTTAATTTTGGTATTTTCTCATTATCAGTGCGATTTTTAAATCACTCGATCTGATTTACTATATTACATGTCGTACTGTAGACTAAAACTGTACACTAAAAAATAATGTATTTACCCCTATTAAAAAGGGGGTTGCAACCCTTCGGTATAAATGTTATGTCCTTAAAAGCGCCTTTTTATAAGAAATTTGTTAACGTTGAGTTTACTGAAAAATATTCATTTGATGCTGAGAAATATTAAAAAAACTGATTTTAGGGGTTGATTTTCAGGGTGGATTTCACCCCTTAAAAGCCCTTATGGGCCGATAAAAAAAAAACACGTATATAATTTTTTTTTCAAGTACTACAACATATCCCAAAATCATTTAAATCGGTGAGGTCGGGTTGGGATGGTTCCCTTGTTAGAGATATGATTTTAAAGGAAAAATAGTTTATGCACGATTTCTGGAGATTTTAGACATCTAGCTCAAAGGATTCTTTGTCAAAATTTTGGTTTTTCAAAAAAAATCTGAAAATTTTCACATTTTTTTTCCTACAATTGCAAAAATAAGGCTCAAAAAAGCTTTTTTCAGAATCTTCACCCCATATTCTGAAAATTCATTGAAAAATCTATCAAAAATCATGGCTTGCATGATCATTTTTGCTCGATTTGATTCTTCTATACAGCGTTGAAAGTGAGCATGAGCAAACGTGCACATTTGACGTTAATGAGTTAAATTAGATAAAGTATCAGAATGCAACAGTCTCAAAATACTTTCAACAAAGGTAACAAAGGCCTCAGAAATACCAATACTGCTGTATAATGATATGAGGAATTAACTACTTTGTAAACAATTAATCAATACTATATTTCGATAGAGATGGTAAAGACTAATATATTTTCATCAACTCACTTTACTCAATAAAACAACTTAAACATAAAAATGTCATAGTACTTGACGAAATAGTATGTAAATCAAGTTGTAAATGGGTTTCACTGTGGCAACACGAAAAAATTGTTTTTCCATTACAGAATAACCTGTGCGGTAAGGCTTACATGTCCAGCCAGACTCAATTCCATGGAAAGTCACAGCTTGGATAGACGTGCAGTTTTAATTGGATATAATATAGCAAGAATGATACTCATCAGAAGGTAGAAATAGTTATGTATCAAAAGTGCAATATAAACTTTAACTAGTCCTAACAATCTTAATATTGGTACTAAGGAGAGCGGTTTTTTTTTACATTTAAGTTTTCTTGTAATTACTTTGTTTTTATTATGTTCGAATTTATTCATCTATTGTGCTATATGTTTATTGTTATTGTATTGCGACGGCCGGCAATATTTTTTTTTCAAATTCATATTTTCTCATAATAAAAGAAATGGAATGCCATAGGCAGGTATGCTTATCTCATAGCACATCAAAAATCGTTAGCCCAAGTTTAATAAGACTCTGTAAAATACGTCTGCGTTTGTGCGCATTAAAGAATGCCACTATGCTACAGTTCCTCACTATTTCTACGCACATAGCTTCTTTGATAGAGTATCAAAGGTGCAAACGAGCTATTAAACTAGAGGGTTATAAAAACTGCCTCCTTTTTTCTATTGTACATTTTCCCACCGAAAAGTGCTCACTTTAAGACATCTAAAATTTTTCCATGGGAACGACGTAAAAATATAAATTTTATAACGAGTTGAGTCTCGTTATGTCTCTCTCTTCCCTTAAGTCAATTGTAATTTATTAATAACTCTTTTTTGTATCCTTCCCTACCTAGCCGCAGCTGCTGACGCTGCACAAGGTAAGTGAGAGAGCGCCGAGCAGAGAGAGAGAACCGCGTGTATGCGAGAGTGCGTGGACGCATGAGTGCCCCGCGCGTTGCCTAATTGGCTGAGGCGCGCCACTGCCGAATAGCCAAGGAGAGAGAGGGGGAACCTCTTCCGCGTGCGAAGGAGAATCAGCTGCCCGCCTTCGCGAGGAACACAAGCCTAGCCGTTATCGCGCGACCAGTAGGTGCCCTGTGCTACGTAGCCTGTGTTTTTCATCGCTAGGAACCGAGAGTGCAGAGTGTGTGTAATCGTGTGGAAAACCGTGGCACCAAGTGCATCCTGCGGACTGTGCGTGCGTGCTAACTAACTGTTGATTAGGCCGAGGGAGTTGCCCCGCGGCTGAATACTTGCGTGTATCGGAAGCAAGCCCGAGGCTATTGCGAAGCCAACATGTAAGTACTCGCTCGATCATTAGTCTCTCGCTCGCTCGCTTCCTGCTTGTCTCTGTCACGGCGCATGTCATTTGTATGCTTTCTTTATTACCATCGCTTTAGTAAACGCTATTTCTGTTAACTATTGTGTCTTTCCTTTCGGCACTCTCTTCTCCCGCGCTATACAACTCGCACCGCCGGCTGCTACCTGACCTGCGACGCTCTCCGCGGGCCGAAGGCGAGGAAGCTTTCTAGTGGCATAGCTGAGCCACTGAGCTGAGTCCCGCGTGACCCCATATCGAGCTACCAACAAGCTGAGTAGCTACCTAGCAACACCCACCTCGGGGAAGTCTGCATCCCCGTTACAATTTAAATATATCAAAAATTACTTATTGCAATACATGGCATTTCATCATTACGTCAAAAACCCTCTTATCAAATTTTCAACTTAAAACCAATTTTGGTCAAGAAACGAAGTTCTTTGACATATTTTTTTGGTTTTAAATGACTCTTAAGGATTATTATTATTAACTTTTACAAAATGTTCAAAACTTCTTTTATACAACTAATTCTGAGTTTAAATTAGTTTCTGTAAGAATGCCGAATTTCATTTATAATAAATATTCGAATAAATTCTATAACAAATTCTAATTTCACACTTACAATTATAAAATCTAATTAACGAAAAATACTTTTAAGTTATACCTAAAATATGTTAAAATATATAAAATGAAAACTAGTTTTACGTTATTCCACGATTTATGTTAATTAACCTTTATAGTCTATAAAGTAAAGAATACGTGAAAATCAAGTAAAAATAATGTAACACCATTATCAAATGACATTTCAAGACAAAGATGGATTAAAATACTTTATAAAAATGAGTAAATAATTATGTTAAATTAAAACTAGAAGAAAAACTTATTTAAATAATAAATAGCTTCATATAAATATCAATAGAATATTCTATTTTATAAGCGCATAATACGTTTTTAGTTTTAAAATATAATCATGTGCCTTTATAAATTGATAAAATAAGAGTACCTTTGCGTATAATAATTATCAACAATATCGTCATTCTTACATTAAAAATGATACTTTCAGAGGCAGCTATAGTGAAAAGGGCCCAAGCTTGAAGAATGCCGCCTACAAACAACTACAAAATTCAGCCCTCCAGCCAATTAGATAACTCATTTTGAATGAGATAACAGAACCGCCAATGATTTATTTGAATCAGATTATACATCGAAGAGCCTAAGAAAGGATTTTTATCTAAGGGCTACAAATTTATGAAAGGTCCCCACCATGCTCCAAGCTCGTTCTCTACTATCGTCGTCAGGACCAGCCACTTCAGATTTGGATAAACATTTTAAGTGCGCAAAGCTCATGCGAAAGTTATACTAACATTTCGCTAATTGATTCTTTCTACTAGATTAATATAAGTTATTTTTTATTGCTAATTAATTTAGAACATAAATAGATAAAATATTTACGTTTCCAAATATATTAATTCGGTTGAAGAAAAAAAACAGCAAACTAATTGTTTTAGTATTAAAAAAATTTTTTAATTTATTTTAGTATTTACATAAGACAATTCCAGTTGTCCCATTATGGTATTTCAAGATTTATTCAGGATTCATATTAAGCTTCAAGTTCAGAAGTTCGTCAAGACATGCTGCAAACAAAAAAAGTGATTGTTTTATAATATCAATAGATGAATAAGTTATTAAATTGTATAGTGATATAGTTTAAACAATTAGGTGATATAAGATTCTCCAAATATAATTGTATGGTGTTGAAGATTGAATCAAGCGTTGTATTTGAGATTTTTTGAATATTTATTTTGGTTAGATACGTAGGGACTGGTATAAGTGTTTCTTAAATTAAAAAAATAAATTATGATCTGTAAAAAAATATATGTACATGTTTGAATGTTGTAGAGACTTGAAAAGGGTTACCAAAAATGTAACCGAAACGTCGTCGACATAATAAAAACAATTTATTTGACAGTATAGCCCGCCTAGTCTAAATTATTTATTTTACAAATATTACTGTCAGTAGAATCAAACAATTTAATTTTAGGAAAAATTGTATTTATAAATGTATTTTTACCTTATAAAATCAAAAAATTATGTTCAAAAAATTTTAAAAATGATATTCTAGTAGAAAATAATAAAACAAAATTGACGTGTTTCGGGGTCTTCCTATTATCTATTATTTCGAGGGTGAACTACCGTTTAATGTTATTAATACAATATAAGCAGTTGTTAATCGCAGATTATGCTGGTAATTTCATGTTCTATGACGCTCAAAAAAACCAAACACATGTAAACTTTTGTTCTGCCGAATAAACTATTTAGAGGGTGAAAACTACCTCCCAAAGTTAACCATCAACACTATTTTATAGCGAAATTTTCGTATTTTATGCACAGTTTTCGACGAAATAAACTCTAAAAAATTCTTTTAAAAAATTTCAGCCCCCTAAGTCGCCTGAAAGAAAAGCTATGTTTTCAAATATTTTGTTGCAAAGTTTTTTCAGAAGAAATGTAGTTTATGAAATTCCGTTTAAAATCTAACACAAAAATATACAGTATCCGTCACCACGGGTTGCTACCCCTTCCTTGGAGAGTGAACAGAGCATTCATTTGTTACCCTGAACCCCTACCACCCCGAACCCAATTTCCTTCAACCTCGAGCTAGTTACCCTGCCACGCTATAACCCGTAACTCCTACACCCCAATTTCATCAACCCTCGAACTGGTAACCCTGCCACATTGTAACCCGTCTCTCCTACACCCCAATTTCATCAACCCTCGAGCTGGTTACCCTGCCTCGCTCTAATCACGAACTACTCCATCCGAATTTCATCAACCCTCGAGCTGGTTACCCTGCCACGCTGTCACCCGTAAATCCTACTCCAAAATTTTATCAATCCTCGAACTGGTAACCCTCCCACGCTGTAACTCATATCTCCTACACCCCAATTTCATCAACCCTCAAGCTGGTTACCCTGCCACGCTCTAGCCCTGAACTACTACTCTCGAAATTCATCAATCCTCGAGCTGGTTACCCTGCCACGCTCTAACCCCGTTCTCCTACACCCCAATTTCATCAATCCTTAAGCTTTTTACCCTACACGCTATGACCCGTCATTCCTATACCCCAATTTCATCAACCCTCCAGCTGGTTACCCTGCCACGCTTTAACCCCGATTTTCTACACCCCAATTTCATCAATCCTCGAGCTGGATACACTGCCACGCTGTAACCCATAACTCCTACACACCAATTTCTTTAACCCTCGAGCTGGTTACCCTGCCACGCTCTAACTCCGAACTCCTACACCCCAATTTCATCAACCCTCGAGCTGGTTACCCTGCCTCGCTCTAACCCCGAAATATTCGACCCGAATTTCATCAACCCTCGAGCTGATTACCCTGCTACGCTGTCACCCGTAAATCCTACTCCAAAATTTCATCAACCCTCAAGCTAGTTACCCTGCCACACTCTAGCCCTGAACTACTATACCCCAATTTCATCAATCCTCGAGCTGGTTACCCTGCCACGCTCTAACCTCGTTCTCCTACATACCAATTTCATCAATCCTCGAGCTTTTTACCCTCCACACTGTGACCCGTCATTCCTATACCCCAATTTCATCAACCCTCCAGCTGGTTACCCGGCCACGCTGTAACCCATAAATCCTACACCCGAATTTCATTAATCCTTGAGCTGGTTACCCTGCAACGCTGTAACCCATATCTCCTACACCCCAATTTCATCAACCCTCAAGCTGGTTACCCTGCCACGCTCCAGCCCTGAACCACTACACCCGAATTTCATCAACCCTGAGCTGGTTACCCTGCCAAGCTATCACCCGTAAATCCTACTGCAAAATTTCATTAATCCTCGAACTGGTTACCCCGCCGCGCTCTAACTTCGAACTCCTACACCCGAATTTCATAAACCCTCGAATTGGTAAACCTGCCACGCTGTAACCCCAAACTCCTACACCCGAATTTCATCAACCCTCGAGCTGGTTACCCTGCCACGCTCTAACCCGTAACTGCTACACCCGAATTTCATTAATCCTTGAGCTGGTTACCCTGCAACGCTGTAACCCATATCTCCTACACCCCAATTTCATCAACCCTCAAGCTGGTTACCCTGCCACGCTCTAGCCCTGAACCACTACACCCGAATTTCATCAACCCTCGAGCTGGTTACCCTACCACGCTCATACCCCGATCTAGTACACCCGAATTTCTTCAATCCTCGAGCTGGTTACCCTGCCACGGTGTAACCCCAAACTCTTAACCCCAATCTCCTTAAGCCTCGAGCTGGTTACCCTGCCACGCTATAACCCGTAACTCCTACACCCCAATTTCATCAATCCTCGAGCTTTTTACCCTCCACACTGTGACCCGTCATTCCTATACCCCAATTTCATCAACCCTCCAGCTGGTTACCCGGCCACGCTGTAACCCATAACTCCTACACACCAATTTCCTTAACCCGCGAGCTGGTTACCCTGCCGCTCTCTAACTTCGAACTCCTACACCCGAATTTCATAAACCCTCGAATTGGTAAACCTGCCACGCTGTAACCCCAAACTCCTCCACCCGAAATTCATCAATCCTCGAGCTGGTTACCCTGCCACGCTATAACCCGTAACTCCTACACCCCAATTTCATCAATCCTCGAGCTTTTTACCCTCCACACTGTGACCCGTCATTCCTATACCCCAATTTCATCAACCCTCCAGCTGGTTACCCTGCCACGCTTTAACCCCGATTTTCTACACCCCAATTTCATCAATCCTCGAGCTGGATACACTGCCACGCTGTAACCCATAACTCCTACACACCAATTTCCTTAACCCTCGAGCTGGTTACCCTGCCACGCTCTAACTCCGAACTCCTACACCCCAATTTCATAAACCCTCGAGCTGGTTACCCGGCCACGCTGTAACCCATAAATCCTACACCCGAATTTCATTAATCCTTGAGCTGGTTACCCTGACACGCTGTAACCCATATCTCCTACACCCCAATTTCATCAACCCTCAAGCTGGTTACCCTGCCACGCTCATACCCCGATCTAGTACACCCGAATTTCGTCAATCCTCGAGCTGGTTACCCTGCCACGGTGTAACCCCAAACTCTTAACCCCAATTTCCGTAAGTCTCGAGCTGGTTACCCTGCCACGCTATAACCCGTAACTCCTACACCCCAATTTCATCAATCCTCGAGCTTTTTACCCTCCACACTGTGACCCGTCATTCCTATACCCCAATTTCATCAACCCTCCAGCTGGTTACCCGGCCACGCTGTAACCCATAACTCCTACACACCAATTTCCTTAACCCGCGAGCTGGTTACCCTGCCGCTCTCTAACTTCGAACTCCTACACCCGAATTTCATAAACCCTCGAATTGGTAAACCTGCCACGCTGTAACCCCAAACTCCTACACCCGAAATTCATCAATCCTCGAGCTGGTTACCCTGCCACGCTATAACCCGTAACTCCTACACCCCAATTTCATCAATCCTCGAGCTTTTTACCCTCCACACTGTGACCCGTCATTCCAATACCCCAATTTCATCAACCCTCCAGCTAGCTACCCGACCACGCTGTAACCCATAAACTCTACACCCGAATTTCATTAATCCTTGAGCTGGTTACCCTGCAACGCTGTAACCCATATCTCCTACACCCCAATTTCATCAACCCTCAAGCTGGTTACCCTGCCACGCTCTAGCCCTGAACCACTACACCCGAATTTCATCAACCCTGAGCTGGTTACCCTGCCAAGCTATCACCCGTAAAACCTACTGCAAAATTTCATTAATCCTCGAACTGGTTACCCTGCCGCGCTCTAACTTCGAACTCCTACACCCGAATTTCATAAACCCTCGAATTGGTAAACCTGCCACGCAGTAACCCCAAACTTCTACACCCGAATTTCATCTACCCTGGAGCTGGTTACCCTGCCACGCTCTAACCCGTAACTCCTACACCCGAATTTCATTAATCCTTGAGCTGGTTACCCTGCAACGCTGTAACCCATATCTCCTACACCCCAATTTCATCAACCCTCAAGCTGGTTACCCTGCCACGCTCTAGCCCTGAACCACTACACCCGAATTTCATCAACCCTCGAGCTGGTAACGCTGCCACGCTCATACCCCGATCTAGTACACCCGAATTTCTTCAATCCTCGAGCTGGTTACCCTGCCACGGTGTAACCCCAAACTCTTAACCCCAATTTCATCAATCCTCGAGCTTTTTTCCCTCCACACTGTGACCCGTCATTCCTATACCTCAATTTCATCAACCCTCCAGCTAGTTACCCGACCACGCTGTAACCCATAAATCCTACACCCGAATTTCATTAATCCTTGAGCTGGTTACCCTGCAACGCTGTAACCCATATCTCCTACACCCCAATTTCATCAACCCTCAAGCTGGTTACCCTGCCACGCTCTAGCCCTGAACCACTACACCCGAATTTCATCAACCCTCGAGCTGGTAACGCTGCCACGCTCATACCCCGATCTAGTACACCCGAATTTCTTCAATCCTCGAGCTGGTTACCCTGCCACGGTGTAACCCCAAACTCTTAACCCCAATTTCCTTAAGCCTCGAGCTGGTTACCCTGCCACGCTATAACCCG